ATAGCACACATTTTCTATGGAAAATTGAATTTTTTTTTCCATTTTTCAACTTTCTAAAATTTCCACATTTTTTAGGAAAATAAATTTTTGATGTTTTGGTGGGTAAATATTTTCCAAGTTTTTTTCTGACAATTGGAAAAAATTCTAGACACAATGGTAAAAAAAATTCACTTTTATTGACAATTTCCATGCAAAACAAAGTCAAACAAATGGAATTCGGCATGGTTATTTTTTTTTTCCAATTGTTATTTTTTTTTTGCAATTGGAACAAATTCTAGACCCAATGGTAGAAAGCATTATCACTTTAATGGACAATTTCCATAAAAAACGAAACCAAATTGACTTCAAACTTTCAACATTTTTCATGAAAAATTATACCAATCAAACACAATTAATTACAATTCACAGTAAAGCAATTTCTAGGCAAATCAATTCTATGTAAAACATTTTCTTTTCACCCATTTTCCACATTTGCAATCACCCGACCCTTGGTAGAGTGGGTTCTCTCAAGACAAGCATTGTTAGTGTGCTGCCCAAGATCCAATACTTGTATTTACTCCCCTTTTATTANACATTTGCAATCAAACGGACCCTCACTATTTGCACAATGCCAAAAAAGAAAAAGAAAATAGAAGAGAATGCTCAATAAAAGATTAATACAGTAAACAAAAATGCATAATCCCATGAAATTCATTAGTAACTCAAAATTTCAAAATGTACACATAAAAGCATATCATCTTAAAGAAAACATAGTAATTTTGGGTCACAGGTTAAATCTCGAGTTGGCTATTGAATCAGAGGGTCAATTCCCATTTTATACACCACTAATTATTTCTTAAAAACAATAGAACAATAAAAAAATTACTTGTAAAATAGTAATTTCACAAAATAATTTCACTACACAAAATAATTATAAAAAAATCGTTAATCAAGTATCAATTTAACAATTTAAATATTCATTTAGGCTGAGATACACATCATGTTGGGAATTTATATAACATGCACAGTGGAATTTAAACGATATTTCAATTTCCATCAAGAATTTGCTTTGTCTTTAGAAAGAAATTGTGATAAGAATTATACTTTTAGTTAATTCTGCGAAGAACAATTCTGATAAGCAATTCCCAGCTATCAAATTGTTCAACATCTAATGAAAATCTATACAAGAAACAAGAATCAGAGAATCAGAGTTTTGGTATCTTGTGCTAGCAAAATAATGAATTGTATGTTATGATTTCTCAAATCTTTATTAACTTATTAATAGAAGTTCAAGTCCAAGTAGGTTTGATCCGACA